AGAGACAGAGAAGGAGGACCAATACATGAGTCAAATATAATGTGTGGACTTCTGGGTTTCTGATTCAAACAAACCAATTATTTAAAAAATGGTATGACAATCATGGAAATGTGAATACTGCAAAGGACCAAATGTTTGTACTGCCCCCCACACACAGACACGCACAAAATCATATGTTGAATCTTTTTTTTAAATTTTTTTTATTTATTTATGATAGTCACAGAGAGAGAGAGAGAGAGAGAGAGAGAGAGAGGCAGAGACACAGGCAGAGGGAGAAGCAGGCTCCATGCACCGGGAGCCCGACGTGGAATTCAATCCTGGGTCTCCAGGATCACGCTCTGGGCCAAAGCCAGGAGCTAAACCGCTGCGCCACCCAGGGATCCCCCCATATGTTGAATCTTAACTTCCAATATGAGTGTAAGTGATGGTATAGGTGGTGGGGCCTTTGGGAAGTGCCCTCATGAATGGGATTAGTACCCTTATAAAAGAGACCCCAGAAAGATCTCTCCAACCTTTCTACCATGTGATGCTATAGCTAGAAGGTGCAGCTGATGAACTGGAAAGCCAGCTTTCTTTCTTTTTTTTTTTTTCTTTTTTAAGATTTTATTTATTTATTCATGAGAGACAGAGAGAGAGAGAGAGGCAGAGACACAGGCAGAGGGAGAAGCAGGCTCCATGCAGGGAGCCCAATGTGGGACTCGATCCCAGGACTCCAGGATCACACCTTGAGCTGAAGGCAGACGCTCAACCGCTGAGCCGCCCAGGTGTCCCAGAAAGCTGGCTTTCATCAGAGTTTGCCGGTACTTTGATCTTGAACTTCCAGGTTCCAGAATCGTGAAAAGTTGTTGGCTACCCCATCTAAGGTATTTGTTATAGCAGCCCAAATAGACAAAGACAAATTGTGACTGGTTTTAAAATAATTATTTTAGGTGTGTTAATCGCACTGTGCTTATGTTAAAATGAATTAAAAAAAAAAACAAAACCCTCTGATACCATGTGAGAAAGAAGGCATTTCACCTCTGTGATATTCTTCCTCTAAAACTCAATCTCAGTCTAACCATGAGGGACACTAGACAAACCCAAATTGAAAGATATTCTACAAAATGCCTGACCATTACTCCTCAAAACTGTCAACGAAAAGTCTGAGAAGCTGTCACATACCAGAGGAGGCTGAGACATGACAACTAAATGTAATGTGGGATCATGGATGGGATCCTGGAACAGAAAAAGAACATTAGCATAAAAAATAGTGAAATCCAGTAAAGTCTAGAAGTATAGTTAATAGCAATGTTCCAAAGTTGGTTTCTTAGTTTTGACAACTATACCAGGGTCATATGAAATGATAGTGTTCAGGGAAACAGGGTGAAAGTTATACAGGAATTCTGTTATCTTTTTGTCTTCCATAAATCTAAAATTATTCTAAAGTAAAAAAAATGTTTTTAAAAAAGTCCTTATTTCCTAAAGATACCTACAAGCAGGTACAACTAAATGATTGACTGTCTGGGCATTGCTTTGAAATAATTCATTGGTTGGAGGGCGTCTGGGTGGCTCAGTCAGTTAAGCAGCTGCCTTCGGCTCAGGTCATGATCTCAGTCCTGGAATAGAGCCCTGAGTGAGTTGGGCTGCCCGCTCAAGACTCCCTGCCCAGTAGGGAGCCTGCTTCTCCCTCTCCCTCTGCCCCTTCCCCCCCCCCCCCCGCTTGTGCGTGCTCTCTCTCCCTCTCAAGTAAATTAAATCTTTAAAAAAATAAAATAATTCATTCATTGGGATTGGGGGCATATAGATGAAATGAGGCTAGCCTCACAGTGGCAATTGTTGATGCTGTGACGAGTGGATCATTCTTTGATGACTGTCTCCACTTTTGAATGTCTGCAAACCTTAATAAAACAAAGATCCTGGAGCCAGAATGCCTAGAAAGTGAGTTAATCTGCCTGTGTGCTGCAGGTTCCTCACCTATCATATAATGGATAATTGTAACTGACTCATAGACTTGTTGTGAAAGTTCAATAAGTCAATATACCAAAAAGTTGGAACAATGTTTGGCTACTATCATCATCTTATGGAGGAAAAGATGGTCAGAGACCAAAGCCCAGCAAGGCAAGCCATCTTTCTCTACCCTCTGACACTACTCAACATCCTTTCTCCCCCAGCCCTCTTGCACAGAGATCCTTGAAGGATGGAAGAAAGGCCCTGGGGTGACACTAGGGGGGTAAGAAAAGACTTCTGCACCCAGGCTTGCAGAAAGCAATGAGACCAGTTGGGAACTGAGGGTGGTATCCCTGGAGTGGGCTCTGGGAATTGGACCCTGGATTATGAGCCATTCAGGGTTCTACTGGCTGAAAGCAGCTAGTATGGTGGAAAGGATGCTTCAGGGTGGGGGTGGGGGTCTGATTTCAGGAAAAAGAGGTCAGCTGGGGTGGGCCATGAGGGACTTTGGGGCCCCTTCAAAAGTGAGGTCTTTATCTCAGAAGCAGGGGAAGCCACTAGAGAGTTTTTAAGCGTGTGGTGGGGGTGGAGGGGAAGGAGTCACCTGATCAGACCTGCATTGTTGAGACTGCCAAGTAGAAGAAGGAGGCCTTGGAAGGGGCCCAGAGTGGAAGCAGGGAGACCTGTTAGGCTTCCACAGTGGCTCAGGACATAGATAGATAATGGGAGCTTGGTCTAGGATTCCAGCAGGGGAGACCAGTGAATTTGACAGCTGTTTTAAGAGACGAGAAGTCTGTGCCTCTGGTTGTATTTGGAGGGTGAGGAAGAGAAAGGGAAGTATGCAGGGACTCGCAAGTTTCTTGGGAGTCAACTGGGTGGCAGTTGGGCTGCATGCACAGCAGGGAGTGGTATGGGAGGAGCAGGGGGGGTGCCAGGAGCGGAGAGAAGTTCCTTAACATGGACAATCACCTCCACTGTGCTTTATGCAAGTCACTATGCTGGAGGAAGGTAGCTTCCAGAGCAAATACAACGAACACTTTTACTGCCCTCAAGAACAGTGTCAAAAAGAGATAGACCAACAATGGCTGAATGGAGTGATCTCAAATGTGTATTTATGGCTCTAGCAGTGATCACAGCAAAGGCCTCAGTCCAAAGCCACTGGGAAGTTCTTAACAACTGTGTGTTGTGTGACTGAATGCCCCAGAACAGGTACCAGAACAAAGACAACCCAGAAATCTTTATTCAGCACATGACCATGTGTCTAGCCCCACCTCGGGGTAAGATGGAGACAAGGAAGGGCAAGATCAGCTCCTTTTCTCAAAAGATGCACACCAGTGTTGAGGAGAACAAGTAACCACACATTAGTATTAGAGGAACACCGGACAGAGTGTCACTCAGGGTGCCCTAACAGGATCCCATTTGGAGTGGCCAAAGTGGGAAGCAGGAGAGAATCAGTGATCTCCCACCAGGGGTAACATACCACAGGAAAAAGGGAGTAAGCGTTTCCAGAGGAGGGGGCCAGCATGATCCTTGAAGAATGAGTAGAATGTGTGTGTGGAGGGCTGGGAAAGGGGGACAGCCGATGAAGGGTCGCCGGGGTCCAGGCAGAAGCATCCCTGACAGTCTGGCCCTAGGCGGCATCCTACACTGGCAGGTAGATGCCTGTCTCGCCTCGGACATCGACATGCTGTGATGGTTTTTTCTTTTCTTTTTTTTTAAAGGAATTAAAGTCCTGTTTTAAAAACAGTAAGGACATTCTCTCAGAAGGCTCGGGAAGCGGGGGCGGGGGCAGTTCCTTACTTATCAGCAAAGCTCGGTGCACCACTTTGCTGGAACCAGTCGCTCTCCCACACAACCACCGCCATCCAAAAAAAAAAAAAAAAGCAAACACGAAACACACACACAAAAAAACAAAAAACACCACACCGACCTTTGTACAATTTCTTTCTTCCTGCAAACTTCTTTCCGTCCACCTCCGCTGCCCCCCACCCAAGGCAAGCCCGCGTCGCGGCAGCCAAGCCTCTTTGCCCTCCTCCTCCTAAAGTCCGCTTCGTCGGCGCTGGAGGCGGTGGAGGCCGGAGGGCGAGAGGCTGCCCGAGGCGTGGGAACGGCCCCTCCGAGCCTTCGGTCCCGGCCGCACGTCCGGCCTGCGGGTTCGAGCCCCATCTCCGTGGCCCCGTCGGGGGGCCCCCGAATAAAAGGGCCACTGTCACCGCGGTCCGCAGACCGGCCGGGCCGGACGGAGCCGCGCGCTCGGCGGCGCCAGGACCCAGGTGCGGAGACCCGCGGGGAGGGGGAGGGGGGGAGGGGGAGGGGGCCGGGGCGGGCGCCCGGGCACGCGGACTCTCGCCACAGCCTGTGGCCCCCGAGGATGACACAGCGTTTCCTCCGCACCCCGCCTCTCCCCGCACATCCTCGTTCCATCCCCGCCGGGGCACCTGCCGACCAACTCGCTGCGTCAGCGAACCCCCGGCCGGAAGGGACAGGGGTCGCCGGCCGCGGGGTGCCCCTCGGCCGGGGGCCCTAAACCGTCGCGCACTGCGGACCCGGCGTGGGGTCGAGGGCTGGGAGCATGACCGCGGGGTGCGGGCGCTGCCCGGGGAGCTCCGCAGCGGCTCGCAAGAATGTCAGTCCCCACCCAGGGAAAGTTAGAAGGCATCTCTGTCACGCCAAGTCGTCCTCCGGGGCCGGAGCCGAACTTTCCGCCGCGAGCGGCGGGCCGCACAGCCCAAAGCGACCCTGCAGCAGCCGCTCGGACCCGGGCGCCCCCGATCCCCGGCAGCGACCCGCAGCGGCCAATCGCCGAGCGCCTCGGGCGGGCAAGGCTGGAGCGCGCGGGCGGCCGACGAGTGACGGCGCGGGCGGCCAATGGGGAGCCGCGGTGGGAGTCCTCGCCCCTCCTGCTCGCCAATGGGAGACGGAGGACGGCTGTAGCCAAGGTCCCCGAGGCAGTAGCTGCCGGCTCCCCGGTGGCCGCGGGTCAGAGACCCCAGGACTAAAGGGGGTTTTGGAGAGGAGTTTGCTCGCCCTCCCTGTGCCACCCGCCGACCCTCAGACCGTAGCCCGGTCCTCACCTGCTGGAAGCGGGGTTTGCCCAGCTGGAAAGGAGGTGCATCGGTCGAGGTGTTAGCGGCACTAGCCGCTGCCGCCGATGCTGTAGTCGCTGTATCCGCCATGGCCACTGACGCCTGCAATCTCCGGCCCTTTTAAAATGTCCCTCCTCGGCCCCCGCCACAGCTGCTTCTCCCGATTGGCCATAAGCAACCGCAGCGAGCCGGAGGCGCAAGGGCTTGTGGGGAGCGTAGTTTTCCTCGTCACGGCGCTTGGCAACCCTAGACTGCGGAGAGTTGCACCGACTCAGACCGGGTCTCGGTTCCCGCCGCCAGTTCTGCAGGGCTCGGCAGTATGGGAAGAGTGTGCGTGTACGACTCTAAGGTCGGGGCTTCCCCTCGCCGGCTACCTGCCCCTGGAAGCTTGGCCGCGGAGGGCATCTCTCCTGAAGCTCTAGCCCAGAAGAGCCCTACTCAAGCGGGTCCGACCCGGGCCCAGAGGGGTAGGGTCACTCCCGGAAGGCTTTCTGCAAGGACTTGCACTGCGGAATCCTCGTGCAGTTTCCTCGGTCGCTACCCTGCCCCTCCCCTTGTGCTCTCGGGCCACCTTGACCCTCAGTTCCAGGAGCGTGCTCCCCGCCCCTGACCCTTGAACATTCTGTACCCAGAAAACTCTAACTTTTTATCTTTGCCTGACTCTGGCTCTCCTGACCTCAGCCTAAACATTGCGTTTCCCGACCCGTTACCTTACTTCCACAAAACCCACTATATGCTCCTATAGTACCTGACACTTTTTTGCAGCCCGCACACTTACAGTCATTTATGGTTTTACATATGTGTTTCCATATGTGTGGGTATAAGGTCCATGGGACAGGAGGTGTGACCTTTTGATTTACTGCTAAGTACTCAGTGCCAAGCTTAGGAGGACTCGAAAACAAGGACTCAAATATTTATTGACTATGTGAGTTAAGCAGTGGGAGCTTCAAGAGCCTCCGCATGTTCCACTTCCTTTGTCTAACTAAGGAAGATACCTCCCCAGCTTAATTCCCAAGCAGGAAGAGAACTGGGAGTGGGGAGTCGGGTTCAGTAGTGTTTATTAAGCACTACAAGGACCTTAGGTAACAGAGGGTAACCCATATCACAGAGCAAGACACTAGCGAGGATAATGAATGCGCTTGTGCAGAACAATTTTGGTATATGTACTGCCGAAGCAAGCACTACACTTGTGCACACAGAGTAGAAGATTCCCAGCTGAATTACTTGGTCAGCAAGCCAGGCTGGGGGGAGGGGAGGGGAAACCGCCTATTTTACTGTCCAAGAGGTCAGTAGAAATAATTTTGACCTTAGGGAACCCTGTTTTAGGTCCTTCATCTCATGGTGAGGTACAGTGTTGGCCCATGCCTGCTCGTCTTTCCGGACAATGCATGATCTATAGAAGTCAGTTCCTCATCCGTCAACAAGAACTACCAGAAACAGACTATATTCCTAAAGCTGGAGAGAGGTGCTAAGAAGTCATGGGAAGCACATGCTCCCAACTAGACTAAGTGATCTCAGAATTAAGAACCAAGTCTTTTCCCCCCTATATTCCCCCACGGTACTCCATAAATGTGGGTATGTTGGCAAAGAAAAGACTGAATCCAGGCCACTGGGCAACACTGTGCTGCTGCCCTGGTGTTAAGACGGAGGTGGTGACATCCCCAAAACCCCATCACCGGCCTTCTCTCCCAGGGAAGCTTCCTTTCCTTCATTTATCGCAGCAGGAACACAAGAGAGTCACCGGCAGTATATGAACTTTTTATTCTTCATAAAGTGCTCAAAACATGAAGAACAAGCTCTTTATCAACAGGAGTTACAACCAGGAAGACAAACAGCAAAGCAGAATCATGCCTGCTCTCTGCCCACCCCACCTGCAAATCTCAAAGTTGTGGCCAGGAGCAGAGACAGCCAACCAGAATCTTGGGCTTCAACTCAAAGCCCTTCCAGAGACATCCTTGCCCCGGGCACTTTGGAGGCTCACAAAGACGAGCAGAAGATTGGGGTCAGGGCTGGTAATGAGTAGATCCCAAAAGAATATGTAGTGGAAGAGTGCTCCCCTTCCCCCAGAAGAGACACCTATGTGACCCCAAATGAACCCCCAGAAAGCATGACCCAAGACCTAGACACCTGTGGACACTTCCCTCAGCTTTGATGGGTAAATCTTAGGGTAGGTAACATAGGGGCTTTCCCCTCATGTGGGGGGCTGCTCTGCTTCATCCTGACAGAAGTAGTCACCCACAGAGCGTATCTCCTTCCAAGGCTTTCAGAGAGATCACAGAGGCCCTCTCAGGAAGAAGAGGCAGTCCTAGAGGGGCTGTCAGAAGCTTCTACCTCCTTGCTGGGCCAGAAGTATCCTCCTTCAGCACCTCCTCACCCCAAAACCTTTGCTAAAGCAGAGTACCCCAAGTCACTAAAGGTTCCCTTCAGATGCCATGGGAAGCCTGCCATGTTTTCTGCAAGCAAACCAGGGGCTGGGCCAAAGGACGGACACTTCATTTCAAGGTGCACTGCAGCCAAGCCAGGCAAGGCCATGGGGCAGAAGAGACAGGCTGGGAGAGCAGCTAGTGGATGACAGGAGCCCTTCTTAGTTGGGGCTGAGGGAGGAGGAAGAAGGTGGCAAGAAAGTTAAAGGAACAGTGGCAGCTTTGCCAGACCCTTAACAGAAATTAATTCAAGGGGAGGGGCACAGGGCACAGCAAGGCTGACCCATCCTCCTTTCCCATTTCTGGGCCCTGACAGATCTGGCCCCATGTGCTCAACAGGAAGGGAGGGGGCCACCAAGCAGAGGGAGAGGTCTACATCCAGAGGCTCTTGACCCCACCCACAAAAGGCACATTTTAATTGGTTTCCAAAAGTTCAAACCCTGCAGAATCAGAGTTTTGGCATCTGGACAGGCAACAAAAACAAAGGTGGAGGCTTGATCCCCAGCATAAGCACCCCGAAGCCCTGAGGCCCGTGGAGGGGCCCACAGCTTGGAGGTGTGCAAGGAGGTGCTCTCCCCACACTTGACCCAGCTCTCCATACATTCACACGTGACACTCATTGGGAAGATCAGAAAGAGGGGGTAGCCTGGAAGACACATCATCTCCCTCCATCCACACGGCACTCGCTCTGCAAACTGCTGGAAACACACATCATCAGGACACAGCAGACACAAGACCAGATCACATAGGCTCCTTGCTCTCATGGGAACAGACATGAGGCTCCCGTAACTGCAAAATGGGCAGCTTGGTTCCTACCACAGCCCCAGTAATCCCTCCAGGGGCTGGAGGCAGATGAGAATAAAGATTTAGCTTTGGATGAGATGACTGACCATTGTTGTGCGGTAATAAAGTGTGTCCCGGATGCCGCATCAAATTGCAGCACCCCCCTGTTCTGACTTGAGGGCTAAAGCCTTCGTTCCAATTCCCTGGAGCCCCCGAAACTAAGGGATACGAAAATAGGTAAGTGGGAGAGACCCAGGGCTCCCAAAGACACACACGTTGTACACGGAACCTGATGCTTCCAATCGGAGTCCAAAGGGTCCCCCTTCTGGCAACCCTCATGGAGGCAGGAGGGAGGGGAGCAAGTGATGACAACGGAGGACAGACAGCAGCCTGCCTAGGTAGAGTGAGTTCAGCGGGAGGGAGGGCACGCCAGCCCTGTTTGGGCAGGGATGAGGAGGGCTACTTGGGGGGGCCCGGGGGGATCTGCAGCAGTGTGGGTGAGGTCTCCATGATCCGCACCAGCAGCCGATCAATGTAGCTCTCCAGCTCCTGCACGTGCTCGTCCCGCTGGCTCAGCTCCCGCTCTCGCTGCAAGAGCAGGCTGATGAGCTCGTCGTGGGTCAGGTGGTAGTATTTGGCCGACTGGTCCAGCACACCTGAGTCCTGAGGCCAGGGATGAGAGTGAATAGGGCAGCCTCGGGCCCACCAGCCCACTCACACCCAGGCTTCACCCCTACAAGCCCCCCCCCACCCCCCAGAGCGGCCTCTGCCTCCAGTGCAAGATACAGCCTAGCTGGCTTCAGGGCTCTGGCATGGGTGACCAGGCCTGCTCTTCCCTCCACTCTGCCCAGCACCCCGCTCCTGCCCTCAGGGCGCCTGACCTCTCTCCACAGTACCACGTGTCTGGTCTGACACCCCCAGGCACTGGGCTGGGTCTCACCTTCAGCCTCTTAGTGTCCACAGTCTGGCCAACGTGGGGGGCTGGAGCCACCGGCTGAACGCTGCCAGATGTGACTGTCTTGAGCTTCTCCAGCCCACTGCTCAGAGCTGTGCTCAGACTGGAGCGGGACTGCTTCTTGTCTGGGCTGCCCTCCAGGGAGGTGGCACTGAGCGGCTTCACAGGGTGGGGGCTATGGAGACAGAAAGGAGATGCATGATGGGAAGGGGTAAGGCAGCACAACGAAACCATGGGGCCACATTCTCTGCCGGGCCAGCAGGTCTGCTGGACAGAAACCACCACTTGGTGGTGGCCGCCCTACATGGCCAAGGCCATGCACCCCTCCTCCTGCCTCACTGCTCTCCTCACTCACCCCACTGCCTCCCCCCTTATCCACTTTTCCTCAGAAGCCTGCTGGCCCACAGCCTTCCCTCCACCTACCGCCAGGCTTTACCAGGGCCACTTCTATACCACCCCTCCTTCTTCCATACTATAACCCTTCCCTGGGGGACTGACCAACCTCCCAGTTTCCCCATTCTCTCAGGACTGGGGATTTCCAGGCTATAGGACTGGTCCTCGACCAGCCATCCACCCTCAGCCATGTCCCATCTCCCCTTCCTCCTCACCCAGCCCCCCACCCCAAGCATGTAGACTCCATTCTGTCTCTAGAAGCTCTTACATTTCATTGATTCCTCAACCTATCAGAACAGGACATTGGACCTGCCAGCCCATCACAAGTGTTCCTGCTCAAGTCTGCCAACCCCTCAGCTCTCAACTTACTGAGCTTTCTTCGGAGCTGACACTTGGATCACTACTTCCTTTGGCCTGCTCTCCCTCATTCCTGCCCCCCCCCCAAGACTTCCATCTGGTTTTCTGACCTCTGATATTCTCTTTTCAGTCTTAACTGCTAGCCTGCCCTTGGATCCCTCCCTTCCCCTCCACAGCTCCCATCTCCAGCCTGTACCTCAGCCCTGAGCAGTAGGCTCATATAGAGTTGGAGGCTGGCTTGCTCCACTCTGGGTCCAGCTTGGGCACCTCACACTTGCTGCCACATTTGTCCTTTCCTGTGTCCCTCTCAGTAGGTGTGTGGCTCCAGCCAGACACGTGGGAACCCGTCTCATTCCCCCACCTCTGCTCCAGGGCTAAGAAACATCCAACCCTGTTGCCTCTCACCTTCCCTAGCATCATCCCCTTCTCTCCAAGCCAGTGCTAGCTAAACTTCTTTCAGCTGCAAGTGCTAACTCACCTCCTTGGAGGGAGTCTTGCCCACCTCCAACCACTCTGTTCTGCTGTGGCTTTGATGTCTCAGCCTCTCCAACACTTAAATGGCCTTTACTGGCTCCCTACCAGGTAAGAAAACATCGTCCTTAACAGCATCTGGTCTTGCCCTTTCCTTCTGGGCCTTTTCTCCTCCACACAGTGCAGCAAACCAGGAAATGTGCTCTTTCTCACTTTCAGGCTCTTACAAAAACTGTCCCTCTGCAGACCACTGGCCCTTCACCTGCTGGCCTGCTAACTCAAACATGACCGGCATGTTTCAAAGGGCGAGGCCACTTCCTCTAGGAAACTTCCCTGATTCCCCCATGCTGACTAAAGTGACCCCCCCCCCAGCACCCTGTGTCCATGACAGGTATGCAAACTGCAAGCATCAGGCCCCCGAATCAATTAATCTTTCCCCAAGAGATCTCTTAAAATCTATGCTTACTTCACAGAGGAGTTGAACCATTCAGAAATAGGAAGCAAAATGGCTTAGCCCAAGGCCCTGAACTCCACTGGAAGAGGGACAACCCAGGCCCAGAGAGGTCAGCTCTGCTACTCAGGGCCCTGGATTCAGTCTCACAGCTGGGAAGGGTGGCAGAGAGGCCAGGTAGGGGGCAGACAACAGGGAAAACAATATATCTCCCCCCACCTAAGAGTCTGCATTAGAGATGGGAGCTTAAAAGCTGCTCTAATGCTACCTATGTACTGTGCCTAGGGAGAGAAGGAGTAGCCAGGTGGCATAAAGAAACCCTGAACATCTCCTGGGCTCTCAACCTGATTGTCCCCAAACATTGGAGGGACTCTGGACCCCAAAGCTCTCAAGGACCCCATTTCCTCCTCTGAGAAATGGCAAGAGTTCTATTTGGCCCATCGACTTCATGATGGAAGGAACATGCCGAATTCAGACATGAAGCCAACTCTGAGGACAATAAACCTTCCCAAGGTAGTGAGTATAATTACAAGTGAGGCTGGAATACAGCAGGGCCAGCTAAGGACACTGTCATCACAGCAAGGAAGCTGTAACCACCTCCTCTCCCTCACCTCTGGGAACTGCTTCTCCACCCACCACTGGAGCAGCAGCCAAGGGGAGCCCAGATTCCTTCCCTCCCACTTCTCATATATCAGCATGGGCCCCTGGCCCAGCTCTTCATGGGTGCACTTCTGTCTTCTTCACTGGATTGGGAACTGTCCAGGCCTATCTCGGAGACAGTGTCTTTCATCTCTATCCGGTGCCTGACACTTAGTGGATGCGCAGTGAATTTGGACAACTAAATGTATAAGCCTACAGACCAGGAGCCTGTCCTGCTCCCCAAGACCCTCACCAGAAAAATCGGCCCCCTCTGTTCCTCCCACTTCTTCACACTGGGCTCCTAGGGTACTAGTGTCTTTCTGGACTTTGCTGCCCCTATAAGTCCCAAGTGACCTGTGTCTCCAGACTTCAGCTCTGGTCACCCCTCACCAGTCAACCCAGTGAGGTCATAGCCTCATAATTCTTCCCAAACAGACCAATGCCACGGTGATCACACAAGCATCCAGAGTCCACCTGGCACAGTCCTAAGCACACTGGGACCACCCCCTGAAAAGGCACAGACGCAAATCAATAAGGCACCCAATGGGGCTACAGACCCCTTCTTCTGGGGGTTGGGGCCCAATAGTTTCATTTTTCTTTTTCTTTTCTTTTCTTTCTCTAAGTAGCTCTTGGGCTTTGTCTCTGACCTCAGCATTGGTCCCTCCTCTGGCTCTCTGCCTTCCACAGCCCGCTGCCCTGGGCCTGCTGTAGATGATGTGGCCCCCATGTAACAAGTGTCACTGCCCCCAGCACGCAGCTCCCCTTGCAGCTGAGTGTCTGAGCTCTTATCCTCCTTCCCTTGCCAGCCCGCACTGGCTCAGCCCACTCCATTCCTCACTCCCTGCACCTCACCCACATCCTCCTCCAAACCCCTGGTTGGTGGGGTACTCTGCTTGTCTGAGGACCCAAAGAGCAGTTTCAGAGCTGGTGCCACAGAAAGGCTCCTTTCTTCAAAGCCTCACCTCTCCTGCCTCAGGGTAAAGGAGCCCTTCATCTGCTCCTGGACATGCTGAGGCTGAAATGTGAACCTCAGCCCCTGGGCTGCTTTGCCCCCTCCTCCCATCTCCTCTGGAAGAGTATTCTCAGGGTGATAGCTCACCTGGCACTGGACTGTGGCTCCTCAGCTAGTCGTGTCTCCAAGGGCAGAAGCACAAGCGGGGAGGCTGGGATAGTTGCAGCGTGGTCCTCCCCAAGTGGGGCAGGGGAGCCCCCAGGGGAGGAGGCTGGCTCCCCAAGGGTTGGGGAGGAAGAAGTTAGAGGCCGAGCTCCAGGCAGAGGAGAGCATGGAGGGCTGGGCCCCCCATGGCAGTGGCTGGCCCAGGGTGGCAGAGGGGGTGGGGGAAAAGCAGGCTCTGGGGGGGTGGGCAGCTCTTCTGGACCAGAGACGATGGAAGAGTCCCTGGACCCTGGAGGGGATGTGAATGGGAGACTGGGGGGGTCTTGGCTCCTTTGAGACAAGAAGGGGTTCAAAGCATCCTCCTCTGAGGTGCAGAGGCCAGTGTGTTGGGAGCTACCTGGCAGAGACTCAAGCCCCTCTCCTACTGGTCCCTGGATCTGGGCGTCAGGACCCTCAGGGCTTTCTCCTTTCTCCAGAGCCCCCCAGATCTGCTGCCTCTGAGGAGCCAAGATCTTTGAGTAACCGGGTCTGGGGGTGGGACCTTCAGGGCAGCCAGTGGGCAGGGATAAGGAGGGCCCAGACACAGGAGGGCTGATACCCTCCACTACATCTTCCAGGCCTGGACCCCCCAACAGGGTTCCAGAAGAATGGCTGTCAGACTCTGACCCAGGTGTCTCACCCTCCTCCTCGGCCTCCTGTGGACCAGCAACCAGTGTACTTGGAAGGTCGTCTTCTCCTCCTCTATCTGCCCCCCTGCTTCTCAGCCCCCCTGCAACTGCCACCACTGCCGCTGCCTCGTCCTCCTCCTTCTCCTGGGAATCTGAGGGTGTGAAGAGGCGTGGTGGCTTGGGAGGTGGCCTGCTGGGTTGCGGTCCCTGGTCGGACACCTGCTCTGGTTTGGACTTTGCATCAGGCTCCAGCTCCAGCTCCGGCTCCAGCTCCGGCTCCAGCTTCAGTGGGGGAGGCCCCTCATTCCCCCTGGGGCTCACAGGTTCTGGTGACTCTGGCTGCATCTGGGGAGGAGGCAGCTCATCGGACTCTCCCCGCAGGACCAGTGAGGACATCTCAGCTGCAGGAGAAATGGTGACCACATCCCAAGGCCACGAATCCTCGACTGTGTTGAGCTCATGCAAAAGTTGGCCTTCACCTTGGGAGGCCTCTTCCTGGCCCTCAGGGGTGTCATCTGTGCCAGGCAGCCTTTCCCACACATTGATCACTTCTGGGGAGCTAAACAGAGACGTCGCGCTGTCTGCTGGACTCTGCCCTGCTTCCCCTCCTGGGGCCGGCGGCTCCCTGTCTGCTTCAGAGTCTGAGGCTCTCAGGTGCCGCTGGGCTGACGTAGAGGGCAGAACGGGCCCTACAGACTCGAGGGGCCCTGGGTCAGCCACACTGGAGCTCTGGTGGTCCAGTCCCAAGTCCAAAGGCATCCTGGGCTCCAGTCGCACACTGCTCCCACCTCTTCCTCCTCCCCCAGGGTCCCCCCGGGGCTCAGATGCCTTCACTGTCATGACCCCACGGCCTTGCTCTTGCAGCCCAGTCACCTCCAGCCCCACTCCTCCTGCAGGGGCCAGGATCTTGCTCCTGGCCTCTGGACGCAGCCTGCTGGCAGCAAAGACGTTGAAGGTGTCTTCCCACTCAGGCGGGGCTTTCCCAGGGGAGGCCAGGGGGGTGGGGCTGGCCCTGGAGGCACTGGGGAGAGAGGGAGCAGGTGAAGGAGAGTTTAGTGCTATGTCAGCTAGGAGTTCCTCGAAGAAAGGGTTGCTCTGCATGGAGGTGAGGAACGGGTTGGTGAGACCCAAGAATCCAGATGGGGTAGCTTCGGGGGCGGCGGCAGAGGCAGCAGCAGCAGTGGCAGCAGCGGGGGAGGCGGCTGCAAAAAGGTTAGTGCTTAGCATGGGAGCAGCGGTGGGAGCAGGAGTGGGGAGGACCGGAGCACAGGGGGAGCAGGGGAGGTGGTGAGGAAGAGCAGCTGGGTCAGGTTCTACCTGAGGAGACACGTCCAGGCTGTGGAGGGAGACAAAACCATGAGCCTCCTGGTTAATGCCAAGACTGGAAACGCCCCTGCTGAACACCACGCACCTGCCAACCACCACCCCCACCCCTGCCTTGGCAGAGCTACCACATGCCACACCCACACAGGCTGGGCTCAGGCATGTGAGCCAAAGGACAAAGGGAAGACCCCAACATGTAATATAATGAGGTGCTGCCGAAGGAGAAAGATGCTGGCCAGAGCTCATTTCATCCCATCTGCAGCCAGGATCCCAGCCTCAACCAAGTGCTCTTCCACTGACCCATAGAACTGAAGATTGGACTCAACACCAGACTTATGCCCACAGAACTAATCAGAAAGTGCCTTATATCCCTTTAAGGACTGAGAGAGGAAAGAAATACTAGCTGTTTGGAGGGGATAAAGAGACCAGAGAAAGGCCAGGCCTAGAGATCCCGCTGGACAAATCCAGTGCTAATCGAACCCAGCAGGGCCCCTGGAATTCCGACTGCTGGAACAGATGGGTTCTGCTGGCCTACTGATGATGCAGGCATCAGACATGATAAGATGTCAATTAAAAAGAACCCGCCTTTCTCATTTCTTGGAAGGGGTACCATAACCTGCAGAGGATATCTACTGTCAGGCGTCCACATGGCCCAGCACCCCACAAAGGGTACCCTTCACCAAGGGACCAGCCTTGAAGTCAGCGCTGCTTGGGAGATGAAGGCTGGTATCTGGCAGAAGCAGCAACTCTGAATGTCACCAGGGGCCTCCTGGGTGCCCCCCCACAGAGGGACCGCCGGTTCCCCTGGGAAATCCATCCCATGGCAGTGGACCTATACCCTCACAGACACTAGAGAACACTGGTTAGCCTTCAGGACCCCTCCAGGGTCCTCTCCAGGAGGGAGCATCCCCTGCACTTGCACTTCACCTTTCACCTATGGTGCACAGCTGACTTGAGGGGTGTGAGCAGGAGCAGACTCTGAAACTAGAGCTCTTGGCTTCCCCTGGACAATCCCAGGAGACAGTGCAGGTAAGGGGGGCCCCACTTCCCAGTTTTAGCATTCTGACAGTGATTTGCAGCTGCCTTGCAGCTGGGCCCACCTGTCAGGCCCAGACCTGGGTGGCCTCGCCTACTGCCTGCTTCTTATCTTCCAGCCCCCACTCTAAGGCCCAAGACCTCCATTCCATGATCCCTGTCCAGGTGAAAATGCTGCAGGACTCCTATGCCTCCGTCTTCTCCACTCAAGCTGCTGCTTTTCTCATGGGGGAAACAGAGGGCAAGCCTGGGGGTAACAGAAGCCAGGCTTTACCAGCCAGCCCATAAAGAATGCAGGTTGGGGTTGGAAGGGCATCTCTAGAAGGAGGCCAGGAAGTCTGGAGCTCACCAGGATTCTTCTGGGAACCAGGGCCCAAATAGAGCAGGCCACACACAGAGCTGGGCAGAGGCAGGGCCAGCTTGTCTACAAACACCAGGGGAGAGGGGGTGGGGGCAGGTAACAGGAAGGAGTCTAGTTCAACCAGCAGCAAAGGTGGCCTTCCCAAGATAGTCTGTGCATCTGTGATCTCAGCCTCACAGGTAGGGCACAACCAGGTTCCAGACCCTGGGACCCTGGGTTTCTCTTAAGAATCCAACTTCCAGAGACCCTCCTGACTCTTTTGCCCTATAACTCCCCATCCCAGGGTGACACCTCAGCCTCATACTACCACCTAGAGATTGGGGGGGGGGGGTGAGGTAAGAGAGTCCCATTGACTCCCACCCCACCAGGCTTCCCAGCACAGCTCTGCCTCTGTGGTCCTGACATGGCAAAGATACTGAAAAAGGGCAAATCCTGGGCCCAGAGTCCCAACCCCACAAATGTCCCATCTCCCTTTGCTCCGAGTAGGGCCACAGACAAACCCAGGCATCGGTGCTGACTTCAGGGACCACGGAGAGCCACCCGCCATGTGGGTCCTGGCCCTGCTGCCATTCTGCCCCCCACTCCCCCATATACACTGGAGCACCCATAGCAGACACAGCCCAGACCTGCCAGCAGGACCCAGCCCCCAGAAACTGGGCTACTCTAAGCCACCTCTCTCCAGTCCCCTTCATGACAAGTGGCCAGAGGAGTGTGAAGGGAGAGGGCTCCATCAACACTAAATGGCACCTAGTTTAGCTCTGCACACTGCTCCCTCCACCCCCAGCCTTGGCCTGGCTCTACTCACCCTTGAGGTCCTACAATGATCTGGCTAGCAGTCGGAACTGCAAGGCAAGAGACCTGCAGGGAAGTAGGCTGGGAGCCCCAGGCAAAGCTAGCACTCTCCCTTCCACGGGCTCCCCAGAGGTACACACAAACCCGTTGGTATGGAACCAGCGAAGGGCTTTCCCTAGAGGAAGGGACTCCAGGTGCCAGGCCCAGTAGATTCCCAAGAGAGCATCCTGTCCATCCCTCCTACCCAGTAACACCCCCCCCCACCCCTGCCGCCGCCGCCCAACATCTCCCTTGCCTTGCTCTACGCCAGGTACACACTCTGAACGTTCTTACTTTGAAACGTCCCCTCCCTGCCCTCCATCTGGCACGGGTCAGAGACACTTTCCTATGTGTGGTTGTCTCTGCATGTTATGCTCTGAGGGCAGCACCCATTGTGGCAGCCCAGCACAGCACCATCCCCGCACCATGCAGAGAAGAAAAACTTCAATGGGTACTGACTTGTCTTCTCCTTTAGGAACAAAGTGGGGGTATGAAATCAGAAGTCCAAATGTCTCTGCCCCCGCAACCTGAGGGAATAAAACTTTGGGGCCTGCGGGAACCTGTCCCTTAATGCAGGAAGCACCTGTTCTCTCTTGACGGCCCCCTTTGCTTCAACACTGCCGTTGCTGGGCAACTTACTACATCACTGGGTGGCCTCTGTGGCTGGAGGCCAGGGTTCACTGGTGGTCAGCTCTTCCTTAGGCTCACATGAGCAGTGTGTCCTTGTTATTTCCACGCACTGGTCCCAAAGGCAGCAGGTGGGTCTGCAAAGGCTCTCCACCAGACAGTCCCTCAAGATGCCCAAGCCAGCCTTGGAGGCATATGTCCCCAGCCCACATGCCCTTCAGCCATCCCTCCTAAGGCATGGTCTGGTCTCCTGCTGCCCTCCTGAAATGTGCCTGACACCCAGGAAAGGTTTCCAAGAGGCTGGACATATCCTCCCCCATCATCTGAGCACAAAGAGGTGACAGATGCCCAGGAAGCTCTAAGTAGGGACACCACATCTTTTATCTTCCATACCAGGACATTTTTAATATAGTACAAGAGCAACATTAACTGTGCCAGGAAAGCACGAACAGGATGATGACCACACTAACTCGAGGCCATTGGTCACATATCATGTCCCTCATTTACCCCACTGGGAATGCGACCAAGACTGAGCTTTCAGCAGCCACTGAACACTCCAGGCTCATCAGGACCTCAATGTCACCACTTCTGGTGAGGGGCTGGGACAGATGCACAGACCACCAAAGGCCACCACGAGACACCTGCTCCCATGTTGTACCACATTTACTCCAATTAAAAAACATTTGCATCCAACACTTGATCCCCTCCTGTACACAGGGTTTTATGGTTAGTGTAAAGAGGACAGGGCAGGTGGGCTCTGGTGGCCTGCCCACAGGGAGCTTATACTCTGAAAGAGTCAGAGCGGGACAGACACAAAGACAACCCTGTTTGGCTCTGGTGAGTTTATCACGGTTGGTCATGACAGTCCTCAAACACACGGTAAGTGGCTGGTGCCGCAGCTCAGAATGCATGGCTCACGGCAGGGGCCCATGAGCAGGGCTGAGTCCCTTGGCCCAGATCTTAGTCTCAACTACAGCACCCCCTGTCCCGCCCAGGCACACGCAGCCATGGGATTCAGCCAGCAAGGACCAAGTCAGGACGAAAATGAGAGCCATCTTTTCAGTGCCTTATACTCCCGTTCTTTCTCTTCCAACCACTGACCGCTCCTAAAGCAGCAGCTTTTTTCTGGATACTGTGCACCCAACACATGATAGCTTCAGGCCTCTCCATGGGGCACCAGTGCCATGTGGGAGCACTAGAGGGCGCCGCTGCCCTTTCCAGTGAGGAACACCCAGCAATCCCCAATGCAGCCCGGGGGGCACAGGCACACGAGCCCCTGGGCCTGTGCACAGACCCTGGAGCCCCAGCAGGGAGATGCAGCTATCTTCACTCACTCCAGTTTCCTGATGTCAATGAACTCATCTCTCATTCTCTCCTCAAAAGCCCAGAGCAAACCTCCCAGGCAAGTACCAATAGTCGTTTCTTCCAGGCCACCTTCCCAGCTCTGTGAAGGCCCAGGGCCAGGGTGATGCAGACGGACTCAATGCCCAGGCCTCACACCTGTTCAGGTCAGCCCCCTATACCCAAAGAACCTTGCCCTTGCAGCCTACGCCCTCAAATGAGCCCCAGGGAAGGCAGGAATCCCTGGATGCTCTCCATCCTGCTGAGGACAAGCTCAGAATTCCAGAAGGCAAAAACCTCAGCTTCCTTATGTCCATCAGTGACCCAACTTCTCTGGACTCTGAAGGGTGAATGGGAGACATGGAGACACAGGAGAAGGAAAACAGAGGCTATAAGCAGGAGTAATAACAACCCCAACATCACTTAAAGTCATGGCCTACAGGAGTCTAAGCCCAAAGCCTGGGCATGCACATAGAAATGACCTCACAAGGGGCGGGGGGGGGGGGGTTGAGATGATCCAAAGACAACAGTGCTGGGCCCGTGGTCTGTGTTCCATCTGACTCAGGCCTCCAGCTCCACCCAGAAGATGCCACCTCCCTCCATACTACCACCCACAAATATCTCTAAGTTGTCACAGGGCTACAGGCTCAGCCTGGGCTTCTGAGACGGGCCCATCCCCTTCTTCCCCATCTTCCCTCAGCTGCAGGTGGCCAGCAGTTGCCCTGAGGTCTGGTGAGCAGTGGCCGGGCAGCAGGGACAGAAGCGATGTTCCCAGCAGGGGAGGCAAAGGGCGTCATCACCCAGAGACTGATTCACCGCACCTACCCATTTGTGAGGTGTACGGGGGGGGGGCTGCCAGGTGGCCAGGCCTGAACCCAGAAAGGTCTGCCATTTCTCTCCCTGCCCCTCTCAGTGGACTTGAATTTCACAAGGAAAGAGAAGAACCAGGACTACAGGAGTCTTCTCCCCTCTGCTGGGGAATGGCTATAGGAGCCTCTCTCGACCCTTCCCCGTGGTGCCCAGCCTTCGCTCCCCACCTCCGGCCCATGGACTCATCAGCAGGGAAGGGGCAGACTCACTGAGAGCAGAAACAGCTGCCCCACCACAATGGCTGTGGCTGCCACGATGCTACCTGTCCAGGGCCAGCTCCAGGCCCTTGGGAAGCACGGACATTGGCTCCTAGGACCTACGCCTGGTGGCCCTCCCTCAACCTGCTGGATAGTGCAGCAGCCTCCCATGGTCAGAGTTAGGAGAAGACAAAGAGCCGGGGTGGGGGTCAGGGCTGGGATACTGAGATTTGTTCATCTGAATGAACTAATGTGTATTTCTCATATGTATATGGGTCTTCATCCACAGTTTCTGGCTCATAGCTCCAAAAACCCTTGGAATTTCCCAAACAGTAAGAGTATCTGTTAATATTTGGTCTCTTATCCTCATTTCTTGAAATGCTTCAGAGCCAGAAAAGTGAAATGGGCACTTTGTCATTCATAACAAGCCCCTTTCCAGCACAACTGGGTTTGTGTTGATGAGGTGGCTTTTACAAAACCCCTAAGGACCCCAGTGAACAGAGGGTGGAATCTTCAGTCCCACCCTGATTTCTGTGGAGGAGACAGGCTGGAAGTCAAACTGACCACCAATGGCCCATGATTTAATCACTTGTACCTATGTGATGAAGTCTCCATAAAAATGCCAAAGGATGGGGTTTGGGAGCTTCGGGGTTAAAAAACAGGCAGAGATGCAGAGGGAGTAGCATGTTCAGAGAGGTCATGGAAGCCCTATGCCCTTGCCCCAGACCTGGTCCTGTGCATCTCTTCCATCAGGCTGTTCCTCAGTTACATCCTTTTATAATAAACCAGTATAAGCAAAATGTTTCCAAGCTCTGTGAGTCAATGAATCAAACTCAAGGAAGGAGCGGGGGGTGGTCCCTGGAACCTCTGATCCATATAGCTGGTTGGTCAGTAGCACAGTCAACAACCTGGACTCTCAACAGGCATCTGACTTGACTAGTGGCGGTGGAGGTGAGGAGGGCCAATCCTGTAGCCCCGAGTCTATGTGGACTCTGATGCTGTCTCCAGGTCAACAATGTCAGAATTGAGTTGAATTGTAGGACATCCAGCTAGTGTCAGAGAATCTCTTGGGTGTGTGAGAAAGCAGTCCCCACACTGGAACTGGGTGCAGAATCCTAATCCTAATTATTATCAGAACCCTCTTGAGAGCTCTGCCATGGCCTGAGCTCAAGGACTCCTGTACCCCTTTCGTGGGTGGGACTCAGCACATTCAGAACAGAGCAGCTGTCATGAGCACTTGCCATACCCGAAGAGCAAGAAATAACAAAGAGGACCAGAGCCCCAACAGTGTCCAAGGACAGAAGGCCGGTCATAGATTTCAAGGGAGTTATACATAGCCCCTTGCCGGGTAGGGGTGAGTGTATGAAAGGAGAGGTGGGAGCATCAGTGACTTGTCTGCCATCTCTCAGGGGAAAGAGGTCACAGAGCCAGCTGGGGTGGGGTGGAGGATCGGAGGTACAGGCCCCATCTCCACCTGCCAAGGCTTCCTGACCTTGAGGCCAGAGGGCAAGAGGTATAGGCTGGGAAGCAAATAATTCACACAAAAAATGGCCTTCCCTGCTTTTCTCCCCTTTCTCCCCCTCCCTCAGGGGGTAGGCATGGCAACTCACGAAGGGAGACCCAGGAGAAGGAGACTAGACACCACAATCCACAGGGCCCCCAGAGCTCTGTGCCCCTGCAACTTACCTGTGTCCATGTGCCAACAACGAGCCTTGGCTTAGGGAAATGGTAACCCCCACCATTCAACCATGCAAAGCCAGAGCCCCAGCAGCCTGCCCAAGGGCCCCAACTGCTCCATCCTCCCTGCCCCAGGATCCAGGCTGCAATACCCCAGCATCCACCCCAAGGAGCAAAGCTGGTTTTGCCAAGGACATACCTAGGTTTCTGAGTTGGTTCTTTGGCTTCTCTTAAGCCAAACCAGCTACTCTTGGCCTTTTCCTCCCCGCCAGATGAATGATGGGGGGAGGCCCCCTGGGTGGGACCTCCCTTCTCCCCCAGAGAGCCACGGCGCCCCAACTCGCTCCGACTCAGCCCCTGGTGGTGATGGTGGAAGAGGCCCATCCGGGGCTTCCGCTCCTCCTTCCGGGCTCCCTCCTTCTCAGCCACAGACTCAGAGGAAGCCACCAAGGGTGTAGCAACCTGCACTGGCTTTCCCTCTGGGAGCCGGGCCCCCTCCTCCTCTCCAGAGTGGCTGGTACCAGTAGCCAACACTTTGGCCTGAGAGCTTAGCTCCTCCTGTCCAGGCAGCATCTCTGAGCTGCTGGTGCTGCGGCTGCCTCTGCCCCCGGAGTCATCGGTGGGCCGAGACCCCTCCTCAGCAGGCCGGAAAGACACGCTGTGCAGGGAGCTGGAGGGTGGAAATGGGCCCGAGATGGAGCTGCGGTGCCGCAGGGGGGCCTGGGGCTCCTCATTGTAAATGTGGCTCCCATTGACGCAGAGCGAGGAGCGGGAGGCAGCGTCTAGGTGGCCCTGGAGGTCCAGAAGGGATCGGGGTGGAGCCGCTCGCATCTGGCTGGCCTCATCACTGTAGGTCCTTTTGTGGGTGAGCAGCTTAGGGGACTGGGTGGAGTCCCTGCCTGAAAAGGAAGCACCCATGGAGTTAGTAGCAGGAAGAGTAGCCCGTATGCTGGCCCGCGCCTTCCCCGCCACCCTCCTCTGCCCCCCAAGCAGCAGGGCCCTCCCCCACTCACCCCCTTCAGTGGACAGCCAGCTGCTGCGGCTGGGCGAGTGGGTGAGGAGCTCGGTGCCCGGGCCCTGGTAGGCCAGGCTCCCACTGGCGGAGGACAGGGTGCTGTCTGAGCCCAGCGAGGTGTTAGACTGCGTAAGGGAGGACTTTCGCAGCTTGTTGCGGAGGAAGAAGCCTTTGGCTTTGCCCATCTTGCCCAGGCTCCCTAGCTCGGGATCCTCTAGGGCACTGCTCGGGAGGATGGCGGAGGCAGATTCCAGATCAAACTTCTTCTTGCCCTTCATCTTGTCCTTGATCTTGCTGAAAGGGGACCGTGGCTTGTCCTTCATGGACAGGTCAAACATGCTGGCGCTCAAATTGTTGCGAGTGAACTGGATTGTGACTTGGATCTCCCCACGTTCCTTCTCCTTCTTGCCTGCCTTGGAGTGCAGCTTGTACCACCTGCGAGAAGGGGGGCAGGGTGGAGCTCCAGTCACAGGCACAGGGAGTCCCCCTCTACTGCTGCCAGAAACCTCACAAAGCTTCTCCCCACAGGCTCCTACCCTGACACACAAGCCCAACCTTCTGAGCCACAGGCATAGCTGAGCAACTATCTACAACTTTTCCATGATGGAGAAAACCACATCCTGAGTGGGGGATCTCTTTAGCGCTACTGGGCAGGGCAGTAGTTACCACTCCATGCCACCCTCTCACCCCCCTTCCCTGGAGCTCAGAGATCTCCCCTCTGCCACTCCCCACTACATCTGAAACCCTGAGGCCCAAAGAGGTAAGGCTGAGCATGGAAGGGGCTCTGAACCCTCCAGGCCCCTGGGATAGACAGACCTACCCACATTTCTCCCTGTTTACATCATCTCCTCTGGCTAGTCCCAGACAAAGCTCTGCTCTGAGCCTCCGGCGAGCCCAGGAAAGAACAGCTCATCCAGAGGCCCAAAGCCAGGAACACTAGTACACATACACACACACCTCACTCACTCACTGACTCATCCAACCCCCCCCGCCCCCCCCCCCCCAAAAAACACCTATGCAAGATGGAAGAGCAGACAACAGCATTCAGGGGCCTCAAGCAAGAGACCCAGGGAAGGGCAAGAGTGTTCACATCTGCTGAGCATCTCCTGTGTGTCACGATGGACTACAAGGGTTTTCACGTCATTCCTATTCACACTTTACAACAAGCCCGGAGGGTCAGAGCCTGATTTTATACAACAGGAGGTCAAGGCTCAGAGTAAAGTAACTCCTCCAAGAACAAGCAGCCAGAAAGGAGAGAGGAGACTGAGAGCCAGTTCTCATCAGTCCAAAGGCCATGTTCTTCCTGCTACATGCTCCTAGAGACCCCAAACACACATGACCACTGCATAGGGTGTGCATGGAGCTCTTCCTTCCTCTGCTGCCCAAATCCTCCTCCCCGATCAGACTCATAGGAGTCTGCCTGGCCAGCAGCATCATACAGCATCTACGCAGAGCGGTTAGACACCGCCTCCACCCAGGGTCCCCTCTCATTCTGCTTGGCAGTCCACACCCCACCCCATCTCCTACAGGTATGAACACAGAGATTCCACAGAGAAACTGAGCCAAAAAGCTTCGGACGTAGGGATGCCAAGTCCAAATGATGGGCTCTGGTGCAGGGCTGAAAACAGTAGTGAGTGAAAATCGGCCCCCTTTCTCACACCAGCACCCAGAATGAATAACCTCCCTAGCACAGAAGAGCTTCGTATCACATTCAAAGGATGTGCTCCACATAAGTGGGAGAAAATCTCCCAGAAAGTAAAAGGGCAAAGATGAGGTGATGATTGAAGGTCAGTCCAAGGAGATTCACCAACAAGTAATTGGAGAGTCAAGAAAGAGAAAAGAGTCTGCTCCCCTGTGTGAGGGGCTTGGGAGTCCTCTCTCCCATCCACAAAACAAGAGAAAAGCAGAGCAAGCTGAAAATCAACAACTCACAGGGGACTTTTAGGGCAGTAAAACTATGCTGTATGATACTCTGATGGTAAATACATGCCATTATACCTCTGGCAGTACCCACAGAATACAAAACACAAAAAGTGAACTCTAATGTAAACTACAGGCTCTAGATAAATAATGATGCATTGGTATCAGTTCATCAGTTTTAACAAATGTGCCACACTAATACGAGATGTTAATCAAAGAAGAATGGGGGTCAGTGGGCTGGGGGCAGTGAAAGGCAGACCAGAGTTAGGGAATATATGTGAACTCTCTGTACCTTCTATTTATTTTTCTGTAAACTGAAAACTGTTTTTAAAAAAACCCACTATTTATTTAGTTAGTTAGTTATTTTTTTTTAAGATTTTATTTATTCACAAGAGACACAGAGAGAAAGGCAGAGACATAGGCAGAGGGAGGAGAAGCAGGCTCCATGCAGGGAGCCCAATGTGGGACTCGATCCCAGGATTCCAGGATCACGCGTGAGCCGAAGGCAGATGCTCAACTGCCGAGCCACCCAGGCGTCCCACCGCTATTGATTTTAAAGAAAAAAAAAGGGGGGGAGAGGGGAAAGGGAGAGAACAGAGAGGGAACAGAGAGAACAAGGGGGAAGAAATTGTCCGAGAAATAATATAAGAAAGTTTTCCTGACCTGAAGGATATGACTATCAGCACAGAAGGACCCATGCACATGAGCAGAGTGAACAAAGATCCAGCCAATAGGTCTCACTGTGAGGTTTCAAAACACCAGGCATTAAACGGAGAGCCAGAAAGCTTCCAAACAGGAGACACAGGTTCATATGCTCAGGAATTAGAATAACATTGGATCCTCACTCACAACACTGGGTACTGTAAGGAGTCATGACTTCAAAATTCTGAGGGAAAGGGCTCCTGGGTGGCTCAATTGGTTAAGTATCTTATCTGTCTTTGGTTCGGGTCAGGATCCAGGGGTCCTGGGATCCAGCCCCGTGTCGGGCTCCCTGCTCAGTGGAGAGTCTCCTCCCTCTCCCACTCCCCTGCTCATGCGATCTTGCTATCTCTATCTCTCTCTCTCAAATAAGTAAATTTTTTAAATCTTAAAAAAAATAAATTCTAAGGTAAAAGTTTTCAGCCTAGAATTCCAGACCTGGCCAATAAAGCATGAAAGTAGACTAAGGTCTGATGGAGATGGTTTGATTGGTCACTGAAGGGCTCAAAGGCCCTCAGTGCATACACACACCACCCCCACATACACTCCATACTATCCACCCTCTCACACACCACCACCCCCAACACTGCACACTGTAGTACACCACACACAAATCCCTCCCACACCACACATGCCACACCACCCCCCAACCCTGAGATCTGCCTACTCAATAGGACCAGCTCCCTGAGCTTCTGAGACATAAACAGGTTCTGAATGGGGGATCTTTTGCATGAAAAAAGGGTCTTCCCAGGGGCAAGTGTGGTTGCACCCATTTGGGAGAGTCCATCAAGATTGCACCGTCCTGTGCCCGTTTTGGGCTATGTGCCTCGCCTCTCCTGGGTAACCCACATTATAGCCCAAGCAGAGGGGCTGCTGGTTCCCCCCCTAAACCTGAGTGTCCATCTACTGGGCAGCCTGCCTCAGGACAGATAATACAACCAGGGAAGGTGAAGGGCCATGCTCAAAATGTGGGTGCACATCTCCACACTCTGATGGTAAGCAGGGGCAGGGCGGGGGGAGAGGAGTGCAGGGAGAAGAGAGAGAGCTAAGAGAGAGAGATTTAAGGCATGGGTAAGAGGAGGAATTGGGAGTGGGGAGAGGAGGGGAAAGGAGGGAAGATTTACTAGAAAAACAAACCAGCCTCCTCATACCCCTGCTTCCTCAAGCCAATGCCCACCCTGGCCTGACACTCAACCCTTTAAAGGCCAAGCCCTAGTCACTTTCCCCAAACCTATACTAGGCCCTATTTAGCACAGAAAGATCCAGGGAGGTGGGGCAGAAGAGAAGCGTATGGACTCCCCCCATGCCCACTGTGCTCTGGGTAACTGGAATCTGCAAGCACACATATCTTCTTTCAGGGCACAAAGGTCAGGGGCCCTCCATCCCAGCTGCTCACATGCCACAAGTCCCAGCGTTAGCAGTCATATCTCCCTACCTCAGGGGGGCGGGGGCCTGGTGGTGAAGGTGCGGGTATAATGACTGCCTACATTGAATATTTTTGTCCAGTTTGAATTTTTTATATGGAGCACACATTATTGTCTCAAGAGAGAAAAGAGACAAAAGAATACACCGGCTCCTATCTTCTCTCCTCGATGGCTTGAGACACAGACTAGGCTGCTGACCTCTCCTTCCCAGAGAAAGGATGATACACCCTTTCTTTATCCTCTCCCACCCTCAGAGAAAGGAAGGATACACCATTAGCCCACAGTGACACTCAGGTCCTCTGCCTGAGGATCCCTTGCCCCTGCCCTTCCCCACCCTCTCCCCTATAAGGTCACCTCTGTTTCTCTGCTTCTCCTGCTCTTCCCCAGGGAATTTGGGTCTCTCTCTCTCTCTCTCTCTCTCTCTCTCTCTGTCTCAGACCTGCTTTTCAGGAAGGCCAGGAGTAAAGAGAAAAGACTTTCCTTACCATTTTCTGAGACTCCTCTATCCAGAGCAGAGTGAGGCTTAGAATGGCATCTGGACCCCAGCCGCTGTCACCCAGCTACCCACCTACCAGTCCAGGGCAGGACTGAACTGGACCCTGCGAGGCACCTCAGGTACCCTGGGACTCAACTAGAGCAGGCCTTCTCCCAGGAGTGTGACTCACACAGGCTGGGATGGCAAGGCCACACAACCACCAGCTCCCAAAGACCAGCTCCCATCCTTCCCCCAAACCCCTTGCTCCTGCTTCCTCCTGCTGTCCCGGTGGCCTCCTATGAGATCCTGGACCCATCAGGCACTGTGACATACAGTCCCCTGGAGGCTAGAAGGCCACAGACATCACCAATGTGGGCTGATGATCCCTTAGTGAAACAATGGAGACTTTCTCTTTACAGAGCCCCACATGCAGCAGACTACAGAACAGACACTGGGCAACCCGTCCCCACAAACTGGGGCTCCCCCGGGGAATGTGACTGCAGGGTCCTATGGCCCAGCTCAAGTCCCACTTCCCCTAGGAAGATCTCACAGCTGCCACCTTCCTGGCTTGGCCCAATCTCCTCTCTTTCTGACCAGACACATGTACTCTGGACCAAAGTCACTCTACAACTAGAACAGTTGCACTCTGCTCCACAGCTACCTGGTACTGTCATTTTCTGGGTGCCTGGGGTCTCCCTAGCTGGATTGGGTTCCCTGCAGATACTTACTGTGCACCCCAGGGTAGAGAGCTACAAAGTAAATGAATAGTGCATGGCAGTAAATTTTGAGATGTTGCAAGGCTTCAATGATTCTCTGCCTGTACTCCCTCCCTCTCATCTCCCTCTTGCTCTGCCCACTCCTTGCTTGGAGCTCTCATCTGGATGCCCATGGTGGCAAAGCATGGTGGTTAAGAGCTG